GGGGCGGGGTCTGCGGGCGAGGAGGGCGTGGCCATATCAATAAGGGGGCGTGGTCAACCGATGGGGCGGGGCCTGGACCCGGGACGCCGTCTCCGAGGTTCAGGTTCCCGCTACCTTTTTTTTTTTCTTCCCAATTTCCCCCCCAAAAAAGAGGTCTCTGCGGATGCTCGGCCCCTGCCTGCGCCCGTGCATCCCTGACTCTCTGGTTTTAGACACTTTGGTAATTTCTCTGGCTGTGAAGTACAGGACAAATGCCCCAAACCCCCTCAGCCGTGCCTTAAAATAAAGTGACTGGGCGGGAAAAAAAAGGGGAAAAAAAAAAAAAAAAGATACTGACAAAATGCTATTACTGCATATTGACCGAGAGGGTAAAGTCACTGTCCTGGTTTCAGGGAAAACAGAACCAATTTTGTGTTGCCAGCCGGTGATGTGATCATCAGCTTGATACAGTTTTGTATACGTTACACCGCTCACCTCCTCCTTAGGTTTCAGGGAGTTTTTGACCTTGGAGATAACTTTGATTTCGTGCAAACTATTTATTTCTAGCAAAAGCAAAGCAGAAGCCAGCAGTTCCTCAGCCAGCGCCGTGCCTCAGCGCTCCTGGCCAGCTTCACTCACCCTCATCCGCTTCAAGTTGCCTCAAGCTCTGAGAATTTGGGAGAGGCAGCCAAGCAGACCAGGGAGCGACGAGGCAGCGGAGGGGATCTGGAAGCCCCTGGGATGCAGCAGGGTTGGGCCAGCAGCTCCCCCGTGATGCCACATCCAACAGGAGTGCCGGTGGAGCCACGTCCTATAGCAATGCTGATGGATCCACATCCTACAGCGATGTTGATGGATCCATGTCCAACAGTGATGCTGATGGATCCACGTCCCACAGCGATGTTGATGGATCCACGTCCAACAGCGATGCTGCTGCACCCCTCCATGAGCCCCCACCGGAGGACAGAGCCCACCCAGGCTGCTCCAGCACCCATGAGTACCCCAAGCACCCATCCATCCTACCCGCTCTGCTGCTCCCCGCTCAGTCCCAGTGCCAGGGATGGTAGAGGAGGACCCACCGGCAGCCTTCCCCCAGACAGCCCTGAGGGACCATGCCACCACCTCCACAGCTGGGCACGGCAAGAGACAGGCACCATAAAGCAGAGACTTGCCAGCATCATTGTATTTGTTTTCCACTCCAAGGCCACACGGATGCACGTTAAGGCATTTTTTAAGACACATGAAACACTTTCCCCAGCTGCAGCTGCCATCCCCGGGGCGGCCAGCGCCCACCGCCTCAGCGCATCGTCACCAGCTCTTCGGCAGAGGTGGGATGAATGGCGACGGTGTTGTCCAGGTCGGCTTTGGTAGCCCCCATCTTGATGGCCACGGCAAAGCCCTGCAGCATTTCGTCGCAGCCCAGCCCTTGCATGTGCAATCCCACCACCTTTGGGGAAGAAGCGAGAGGAGGGATGGGACCCAGCACCGGCGCAATCCAGGCTGAAATCCAGGCTTGGTGCTGGGAACTGGATCGCAGCCCAAGACCTGGTCCAAGCAGGGGACAAGAGGACAGCCGGCCATGCTCCCCATCACCCCCCTGCAGTGCCCAGCTGTCCCCCCTGGTCCCCTCCACGCACCTTCTCCTCCTTGCCAGCACACACCAGCTTCATGACACACTTAACCTTCCTCTGGGTGACGGCGTGGTACAAGGGGGTGAAGGACGTGCTGTAGATCTTCACGTTCTCCCTCCCGTGCATGGCCACGGCTTCGTCTGCAGCAGAAGACACGGCATGTAGGTCAAGGGGACGCGTGGTGTACCCGCACCATGGGAGTCAAAGCCCATTTGGCGAGGCTCAGACGGCTTGCCGGAGATCAGATCGTTTCCTCGAGCATCAAACCAGCAGCTCTGAGCCACAACGTCCCCAGCCTCTTCGTTTCCCCCCTCGCCCTGTCCGTCCCCACCTTCGGTGAGACCCACGGTGCCGATGGGCGGGTGGCTGAAGACGACGGTGGGGATGTCATGGTAGTCCAGCCGGGAGTCCTGCTTGCCCTCGAAGAGCCTGTGGGCCAGCTTTCTGCCAGCCGCGATGGCCACTGCGGGGAGGGACGGGGAGCCTGAGCTGTGGCACGACGTGGCACCGAGGGGCTGGGGAGGGGGGCACTGCCACCATCCCTGGGGTGAGGAGGGCTCTGCCGCAGACATCCCCGACGGCGTAGATCCCTCTCCTGGTGGTGTTCTGGTACTCGTCCACCACCACATGGCCCTTGGCATCCACCTGCACCCCCTGCCGTGGGAAATGGTAGCCACCTCAGCACATGCCCCAGCAGCAATGGGACAAGGGATATGCCGGTGGCCACCATATTCCCAGCTGGGGGGTGCATGGTGGGAACACCATCCTACAGCAGGCTCTGGAGACCCATGGGACCCCCAGAGACCTGTGGGATCCCTGAGACCCACAGGAACTCCAGAGACCTGTAGGACCCCTGGAGACTCAAAGGAACTCCAGGGACTTGTAGCACCCCTGGAGCCCCGTGAGATCCCCAGAGACCCATGGGACCCCCAGTGACCCACACGAACTCCAGAGACCTGTGGGACCTCTGGAGACCTGCAGGATCTCCAGAGACCTGTGGGACTCCCAGAGACCTGTGGGACACCCAGAGATGTATGGCACTCCTGGAGAACCGTAGAAACTCTGGAGACCTGTGGGACCCCCAGAGACCCATGGAACCCTTAGAGACCAGTGGGACACCCAGAGACCTGTGGAACTCCCAGAGAACTGTAGGAACCTTGGAGACCTGTGGGACCCCCAGAGACCCATAGAAACTCCAGAGACCCGTGGGACCCCTGGAGACTCATAGGAACTCCAGGGACCTGTGGGACCCCTGGGGACCTGTGGCACCCCTGGAGCCCCGTGAGATCCCCAGAGACCCATGGGACCCCCAGTGACCAACACGAACTCCAGAGACCTGTGGGACCCCTGGAGACCTGCAGGATCTCCAGAGACCTGTGGGACCCCCAGAGATGTATGGCACCCCTGGAGAACCGTAGGAACTCTGGAGACCTGTGGGACCCCCAGAGACCCATGGAACCCTTAGAGACCAGTGGGACACCCAGAGACCTGTGGAACTCCCAGAGAACTGTA